ATTATGGAGGCCGAAGGATATACACAGGGCCTAGGAAGGCAGCGCTAACATGGATCACAATCACAAGCGCAGTATATCAGTTCGGTCGTCGGTTTATACGATGTCCACCGTGTGCTCCACAACAGGATGAGAGCAGGGACTGTGACCTGCCCGCGAATCAGTTTATTGTGATAGTGGACTTGCGCAGCGTCTACTGCACTCCTTCTCATCCTCCCTTACCTGGGTCTGATACCAAGAGAGAGAGTCAAGGAGACCGGAGGAGGGAGAGGACGCAGGTTGCTGACACGCCGAAAATCCGCACCTTGGGCTACCACCACAGCCCCCGGTCCACCACATACACACTGACCAGGATTTAACTCCATAACAGAAACAGGCGAGCGACACGGATGCCATCTAACACAACATAGGACGACAACTGGGAGTGACACTACTCCCCAATGTTGGCATCCGACATGGGCGCACATTCCTGAAAAAAACACCTGCCGGACTCCGGTCTAGTCCTCTGTGTTGGTCCAGCGCATCTACCGCGAGGCCCGTTTTAGGGGTAGACTTTTAAACAGACCTATTGACTGCCGGATGTCCAAATAAACTTCGGAAAAATAACCACGCAAGTAATATGCACGTTTTAAGTTTATTTCGCCTCGAGTGCAAGTTGAAGCCTACTTTATAGATACTGCGCAGAATAATTTTTCCCTAGGTTTACTACGAAACGAGCCACTTCTGAATTCTGTTTCTAAAAACTCGACGTTCCGATGGAGTGAATATGCAGAAAGCAAAAGGTTTGGACGAGCCATGACGTTCACGGCGTGTCCCACCGCGTGGGCGTAGCATCGGCAACTTGAGCGCAAATCAGTTGATGCTGTTGCAGGCTCGCGTAGCATCTACCACAACCGCAACCAACCATTTTGTTGCCACGTCAAGACAGTGTCGAAATGACCGGAGGTGAATTCGGGCGCAGTGACTGACAAAGCCAAGCAGCCCGTATCAAACACACGGCCTGGCCCCCATAGCATCTACCAGGTTTTCACAGAAGGCGATTCGAATTTCACGAATAGGGGAGGGGGTTATCATAAGAACCACATTAAACCGAGCCATTGCACCCGGACTGCCTGTCCTACAGTCAGTCACCCGACGTCTACGAAGATGCCCTCCTTTGTGCACCACATGGACGGCTACTTGTGCATGATTTCGTCTATAATGATAGTAGACCTGCCCGG